TATTTCTTTCATAGGCTGCTTGGTAATAATCAAATAGGATAATGTGCATAAAGCTCCTAACACGGTGATTCGAATGCTGTGGGCATCAAATAAATGTTTGTTTTTGTCTCTTTTGTTGCCTTCTTTTCTCAAACAGACAGGAGATGAAATGGGTTTATTACCATTAATTGAAATCCATTCTGATACCACAATTGGCAGCTACTGGAAGTCACCTAGATAAATCAAAGCCAGCCTTCCACTTCTTGGTGTCCTTATAAATCCTCTAGACTCTTCATCAAATTGTGGGGACCTGGAATTGGCCACCCCAAGATATGCCTCTTTGGCATCAGGATTATTTGAGGCTGATTGATTTTGATAAACTGGGACAGGGAAGGAGGCTCTGAGGAATGGAACTTGCCCTTTGTTAGGACACATTTACGTTTGTAAGGTAGATCTCTATCTGTAAAGGTGCCTCCCTCTCTGTACCAGGAAGAAGAAAGGAGATGACCTTGTCTCTAGAAACTCTTAATCAATACCAAAGGCAAGGACTTAAATCTGCATTTTATTGTGCTTCTCTGGTAACCTCCTGTACCTGACTTCCCTCCCCATCCCAACTTTGGTGTTTCTTTAAGGATTAAGCATCTTTCCTCAGGGAAGGAACTGATTGCTGCACTCACCTGTGACCACCCAGCTCCAGACAATTGACTTGCCTCCGGCTACGCCCTCTGAGACAGCAGACCATTACCTGCTGTGTCCATCAAGCACTGTGCTGACAGGGCAATCTTGTGACTATTGTGGGAGGGACATTTCAATCACATGTGAAACACCCTGTTTGGGGGTATATAACCACTACGTGCACGCCACTTCTTCGGTGCCCTTTCTTCCTTCGGGAAGAAAGGCCCCAGGCCATGGTTCCTCATAAAGCTTTGTTTAATTTTCTCTTGCTATTCTGTCTCATGTGAATTTAATTCGTTCTCCAGCCAGACAAACCCCCATTTGGGAAGAGGAAATGTCTTCCTCCCCTACAAAATCAAGCAAAGGGACTAGCATGACTTATACCAGGGAAAATGAGCAATAGAAATTAAAGAGTGAAGAGAGATTGAAAGCCATCCAAGAAGAAAGAAACAAGACTAAGAAATCAGAAATAAAAAACGGAATAGAACTTGAACCATGAGCTTGACCAATCCAGGCCTTCAGAAGTCTGAAGGACTTCCTCCCTTGGCTGCTCTGACACCACTCCCTCCTAGACCTCCTCCTGAATGGCATCTCCTTCTCATTCTTCATCGCATGTCTTCCTCTGGCTAACCCTTGTATACAGTGTTCTCTCAGGAAGAAGAAAAGATGTTTGAAGGCAGAAATTTAGAATCTTATCCTCACCCCTGATTTCAAGGATAGCATTTGAAGGATTATTCTAAAAGCCATTCTCCACTCAATGCTCCTCTTCTGAGTTCCAAACCTGAATATCCAACTGCCTGCTGGGTATAGATACTTAGATTTCCCATGGAAATCTGAATCCAACATGTCTAAAACTTGACAAGCATTTTCCCCAAAATTTGTTGTCTTCTATAATCTATACCTCAATGAAAGATGCCTCAAATAATGCAATCACGCAAGTCAGAAACCATTCTTGACACATCATTCTTCCACATCTAATCATCAATACATCCTGATGATTTAATTTTTTTCATTAATTCATTGGATAACTCCAAGATCTGTCCACTTACTATGGGGAAGGCCAGATATCCACATATGGAAAATTAATAACAGTAAAATGTAATTTTCATTCATTTGTTCAATAAATATTAATCAGTGTTTTATTCCTTGATAAACATTGCTGTAGGTTGTCTGACAGAAAAAACAGAGACTCTGCCTTTGAGGAGTTCATAGTTTAAAATAAGAGTGAGAAAATAATATGCTCGTGTATCAATGACAAAAATCCAAAGCTTTGATAACCATAATGTAGCATAATACTTGCCAAAATAAAGTCTCACAACCTTGAACATTTTGAGAAGCCCTCAATGGGAGATAAGAATCTGAGCAGGAAACACAAGGATAAAAAAGTATATCCAGAAGCTATCACCACCATCACTTCTACCATTATTGGTTAATATTTCTTAAATACCTTACTATGTACCAGACTCTACGTCCAACACCATACATGCATTATTTTATTCATTCCTCACAAAAGCCCAGTGTGATGGAGGCTGCAGTAAAAATATTTCCATTTTGCTGACAAAGAAACTAAAGTTTACAGAGGTTGAATATTGCCTAAGGCCATACAATTGGTAAATGGCATAAGTTCAAACTCAGATCCATCCTTTTCACTGCTATGCCACATTGAGAATGGCATGCCTAGCAGAATATAAAACAAATGCCACGGGAATGCCACAGAAGGCAGGACTCCAGCTGTGTTCTCCAGTGCGGTAGCCACTAGGTGTATAGAGTTTCCAGAGATGTGAGCTGTACACATAAGATACAGTCTACATTTTGAAGACTTCATATAAACAAAAGAATGCAAAATATCTTAATAATGACTTTTACGTTTATAACATTTTGAAATGAGAATATTTTGGATATATTGGGTTAAATGAAATATATTATTAAAATTAACATTACCTATTTCTTTTTACCTTTTTATGTGGCTATTAGAAAATTTTAAATTACATATGTGACTCGTATCTGTAGCTTGTGTTATATTTCTATTGGACAGTACTGAGCTAGAGGTGTTGAGGGGGCGGGAAGAAGACTATGAGCAGGACTGTCTGAGGAGGTGCCACAGAAGCATCCAGACCTGAGTGAGGATTCAGAAAGATGAGTCAACTTTGAATGAGTAGGAAGAGGGGGCAGACTTGTCAAGTGGAAGGAAGAGCTCAGGAGGAAAGATGGCATGATTTCTGTTGGGGAATAGTGCACAGGTCAGCAGGAGCTGCACCCTGGAGTTTGCCCAGGGTATCTGTACACAAATTAAAACTCTCATTTAGACTGATGTCTGTAAACAGGAAATAGCTTTATTGAATTCTTCATTAGATAAAACGTGAGGCCTATTGTAATTCTATTGCAAAGGGAAGTAAACTGTCAGTTTAAATAACAGTGCCATTTGGAGAACTACTATTCTGTGAAAATATTAGGGAAGGCAGGTCCTCAGAAATTCGAGATTGCAATTTGCTTATCCTTGAAATTTTCAAGTACGTGATGTCTAACTGAAAGGTAGCACTCTAATAAATCAAAGATTTTATTTCAGATGAAAGATTGTACTTCTGACTGTAAATTCTGGCCCTAAACTTGTGTTAAGGTTTCTCTTTTTATAAACATTCATCTGAATGTGTCTCCAGTGGAGATATCTATACCCTATGCTTGAGTATAGATGTGAAGTCAGGGTGACATTGTCATGGGAAAGTTCACTGGCTTTGGGGTCAAACAGATCTGCATTGCCATGGTGGTCTCCTATTTACGGGCTAGTTACTTAACCTCTCTGAACTTAAATAGCCTCATCTGTAAAATGGGGTCAATGATACCTACCTACTCTCCTACTCACAAAGAGGTGGTAAGGATTAATTTTAAAAAGGCAGGCAGTGCATTTAGCACAGTGCCAGGAATGTGGTAGAAGCTTGGTGAATGGCAGACACACCTACTCAAACCCACACACAAATGCACTCACCTACTGTAAGAAAGGCAGGCTTGAGCCAGCCCTGATGGTCTAGTGGTTGAGGTTCAGGACTCTCACTGCTTTGGTGGGCCACGTTCACTTCCTGGTCAGAGAACCACACCTCCCATCTTTCAGTTGCCATACTGTGGCAGTGGCTCACATAGAAGAACTAGAAGGACTTACAACTAGATGCACAACCATGCACTGGGGCTTTGGGGAGAAGAAAAAATAATAAAAAGAGGAAAATTGGCAACAGATATTAGCTTAGGGCAAATCCTTCCTAGAAAAAAAAAGAAAGAAAGAAAGAAATGCAGGCTTGATTTTTTAATATACTGACTATGAATGCTGAATGGTCATGGGAAAGCTATGCAAACCTGTCCAAGTGACTTCCTAAGGCCTCAAGGCACTGCTGAAGACCACTCTGCTCCTGTCTGTCTTCAGGAGTCTTTGGAATACTCCATTAATGCCAATGAACTGAGAATATACTATTTGTATAATAAGCAGCAATTTTCTTTTCAAATTTTCTTAAATAAGACGGGAAAACAGTCTTCTAGACCAAGAAGTATATATCTCAAGAGACTGAGTATACATTAATGAGATCCCAAGGCTAGACTTATAGGCTTGTTATACAGCAGAATTAGTCAGAAACGGAGAAAATCTGGTCATTCTATCAACTAGAATGACTAAGTCACTTTCGGGCTTTCACACAGATACAAATAACCAAGCCAATTCTGAATTAATCATATACTCATATCTGGAAGGGTAGGCTGGATACTCCCTTTATTTTATGATATTGATTCTCAAGATACACAACAGGGCTTTGAACTGTGAGGGAGTAAGGGTTATTTTACCCATACTTGAATCCCCTACAACGATTAGCTCTAGTACCAACCAAATACTTATTGAATGAATGAATCAATGAATGAATGACTTGGATTGAAATTAACACATTTCTACATGTTTTCATGGGTAATGAGTCCATTCTGGTACAGGGTAAAAGTGTTGGACTGTCCAAGGATGCTTGGGACAGTGATGTAAAAAATTTGGTTATAATTGAAAACCCAGAGGGAACGTTTTAAAATTACAGATATCCCTACCCCTGATCCTAACTTTGTGTTTCTAAGGTGGGGAACAAAGTTATTGGTCCCAGAAAATTCTGATAATCAACAGAGTTGCTACTCACTGTCTCAGGAAAAAAGCATTGGGCGAATATTGACCCTAAGGCAAGTGAAATTCATTGAACCCTCAATCTGAATGCTGAAAATCTTCCATCCTGGGAGTAGGACAGCTAAATGAGCACTTCAACAAAGAAAGCAGATTTCAAATACTTAGGAGCAATGATAAATAACTAGTCCCAACAGAAAGAGAATGGGTATAAGTTCTTTGAATTTATTAGTCACCATAGGCTTATCAGGTGAATGTGTTTAAAGCAGTAAGGCAATGATGAGTGACGTCAGCTGAGTCATTAGTAGGGCAGGTTTTTCCTTGGTGATTTCTTTTGCCAAGTTCATAAATGGAAAGTGAGGCCTGTTGGGATAATTATAAACCAGACTGGCAACTGAGATGATTCTTTCCCAAATTTGCTTAACCAGGAAGGATGGAAAGGTACCACTATGGAAAGGTGCCAAGGAAGTCAGGAACTTCAGGCAGCATGTCTGTACTGAGTGGCAGAGCAGGGGTGTGTAAGGCTGAGTGGATCTGTGTGCATGTATTATTTCACAAATTAAGAGGCAAGGTTGAACAGTGAGGCTTCTGGTGAACATCTCAAGCTCAGAGGCTAGTGTGGAGGTGGACACGTGGTTTCACCTTCTTCACCATTATCCAAGGTGGCTTCCAGCAGCCCTCCCCGACATCAGGTTGCTAGTGTTGTCATGCTTACCAGAAGCCCAGCCAATTTGAAGGAATTCAAATATAGGAAGAAAGAGATTCAACATCCACCAGAAAAGTGCTTGCTTAGGTGAGAAGGCTTGGCTCAGAACAATAGATGGATGGGGTAATCCCATTAGCTTTCATGTCTAAAAGCCTCTTGGAAAATGACAGCCTAGAAATATAAGCCAGGGAGAATTATCCGGTTGTTAACAACGATGCCTGTAGGGACATCTAATCCAAGCATAATCAGAAGAAGGCCGGCAGTATAGGCAGGGTGGCAAGGGGACTCTGCGGGAGTCGGCTGAACTGGCTTCTAGTTGGACTTCATGGATTTTACTTCCTGCTCTGCACTTTTCTGGCTGTATGAGATTGGACAAGTTAGTTAATTTTTGAGTCTGTTCCATCTGAAAAAGAGAACAACCAAAAAATCTAATTCATACAGTTGTCATGGAGGTAATTTTTGTGAAGTGCTTAGCTGAATGCTTCCCACCTCTTAGTTCAGACATGTGATCAGAGGATGTTCACCATCTGCTGGGAGCATGCCTAAATCGCCAGGTCTGTGTTTCGGATAGGTCAATAAATGACACTTCTAAAAGCTGAGTTCCACCTCACAGGGTAACAAAGATTCAAGTTCTATTCTCCACTCATTCTTTAAAGGTTGAAATGAGGAGGAAACCTGAAAGGGCCGGCTTCATTGAGACCAGCTGATCAACTTTTTTTGGCCTGAGTTTGGTCATTCATTCTCCAGGACATGTGCCACATAGCTTGTGAAGTCAGTCATTTGTGGTCCCATGAATCAATATCTAACGTGTGTCAAATGTGTCAACAAGTTAACAAAAAGACAGCAAGGCTGATTCTTTTGGCACTTGTAGTCTCTCTGGCAGCGAATTTACAAGCTAAATTGAATCATCAGCACCCAATTAAATTCCTCCTGCATCATGGCACAAAATGCTCATTTTATTTTCTTGATGAAGGAGGAGAAGTGGGGGAGGAGGGGAGAGCCATCCCATTCTCGTCCACGTATTTCCTTGAATTAGAATATGTTTCACTCTTGAATTCATCTAGTTTCTCAAGTCTAGTGAAGTAAGGAAATGTTATAATTATATTTCCTGGTCGCCTACATATTTATCTCCTTTGCTATAATCTCCGTTACTCATTACACTCCCACTGACTCTATCAAGGTTAAAAAATTTATCTGCACAGATCCCAATATCCGCTGCAGTCCCTGAGCACCCATGAGCTGGCAGCTTTCGCCCTGACTCTCATCCAGAGAGGGGTTTATCATTTCTGGATGGGACCTGCCAATAAAATATTTAAGTCTCTGCAGTCTCAACAGCCACCACCGGAAACCCACTGTTCTGTCTAGCTGGGACAAAAAGGACAGTTCTTCCTCCTGGAAGGAGGTTGCCAAGTAATAAGCCAAACCACCCAGCTGCACTTCCGAAGTCCTACTGCTAGCGCTACCGGTTGCCTGTCTCCAACCTGCTTGACAGACTCCTGGGCCAGCAGGGTTGAGAGCACCCGGCCTGCACAGGATCCAATCTCATTTCTGTCTGGATTCGGAGTCTTAGCCACAACTCCTGTTTAGAACACCAGTCTTGCCCTTTAGATTTGATGTTCAGATGAGAGTGCTCCAGACCTAAGTAAAGCCCTTCCCTCAAAGACCATGGCTCAGGATTATACTTCTAGCTGTCCCAATTTGGTCTACCTTAGGGATGGTTTCAATTTGGATTCCCCTAAATCAGACCCTGAGATAAGGATTTGGGTACAAGATAATCTCAGAAAGCACTGTGAGAGCAGGGAGGATATCCAACAAGAAAGGGTATGTTCGTGAATACGTTGCTATTGTGGACAACTTGTACTCAGTCCCACTAGACATTATTGCCCAAGAGATGGCATGGGGACAACTTAGAGTTGTCCTGTGGATGAGTGAAGAAGCTGGAGAATTTAGCCACAAACTTCCATCTCTCCTCACTGGTTGAGAGTCCCGTCTGCAGCAGGACTTCCCTGGGGCATCCAGCTTGCCCTACAGGCAGACTATATTCCACACCCAGAGAAGACCTTCAGACAGGGAAGCTCAGGAGACCACAGGGTGTCTGTTGACCTTCTAATAGGCTGAGGGAACTGATGGTGTTCAGGGCAGGCTGCCCCAAGATGTGCCACTCTGGTATGCAGATTATTTCAAGCTGAAGACAACAAAGGCTCAGAAGACTCAGGAAGAACTTCACACCTTCCCCCTCCCCCCAACTCCCTAAAAGAAATGTAAAATAAAGGCCTGTCCCCAGGACAAGCCATCGCCATAGAGCACTTGGGGTATCGGTAGACAGGGAGGATACTTACTAAACCCACTCTTATCAAAGTTCTATTTACCAAACATTTGCTTTTCCATTTCCATGTGAGTTGCCTTCCTCCCTTCAAATCCCCAAATCACTACCCACAATGTGCTCCTTATCCAGAGCTGAAGATATTTAAACAGGCAGCCTCCGCCAGATGGCTGAGTTATTCAGTTTCTCCTGAGTTTCTCCCATGTATACATGTTATTAAACTTTGTTTGATTTTCTCCTGCTAACATGCCTTTTTAATTATTTGACCAGCCATAGGAACCTTAAGGAAAGGTGGAGGAATTCTCCCACTTCCCCAGCAGGACACAGCCAGGCACCAACAGTCTGCAATAAGGACATTATCCTCGCTCAAAATGAGCACAACCTAACTGGTCACCAGTTGAAGGGGTCAAATACCAAATTGGAGACAATGTTATGGCGATTCCCTTTCAAGAACATCTCAGGCAAGAGTAACATAGATGGACGTACTGGACCAAATAAATGGGCCACAAAACCACAGTTTGGGGTTGGAGTTTATCTACTGTAGGGACAGAAAGTAATGGTTTGAGGAATTCCTAAGTGTGGAGCAGTGCACAGAACTTGTCTTCATTGTTTATTCTGCATATGTTTACAACAGCATAGGTTATTGTGTTTAATTCCCACAATGATATTGTGAAATAGACATTTGTATTCTCATTTTACAAAGGAAACTGCTGAAGTTTGGAGAATTAAGTAATTTACCAAAAGTGACACTTTAAGTCATGAAACTGGGGCTAAGACGCTCCAAAGCCCCCCTCTTTCTAGGGGGCCACACGCTTCTTGCTCCCCCTAAGGCAAGACTGGCCTACTGGTGAGGTAGGATGGATAGTGCACTGTCTACAGGGCTTTTAGGGACTCAAAAGAACACCACCCAACACCATACTTGCTACATATCTCCATTCCTGGACGGTAAATGATGCCCAAAGTTTCATGGCCATCAATTCATTCTTTTAGGGTAGGCATAAAAAGACCATATAATTTTCTTGGGAAGTATAGCAAGTAAATTCATTAGATTCTGAGCTAATGTAGGGCAAGGACCTTACGAATCATCATTTTATCTCCAGTACCTAGCACAGAGCTCAGTGTGTTAAAAAGTCCTCAGTAATTATCTGTTGAATAAATGAGTAAACCTCACTGTGAATAAATTTAGCAAATAAATATATGAAAGGTATAAAGGTTAAATATAAAAACAGGAAAGAGTAAACAATGTAGGAAGAGAACTTAGAATTTTCTCCATTTCTCGTTCATTCTATTAACCCAGGAATCTATATATAAACTTTCCTTTTGTTTCCTTGATCAATATAGTTAATATTTAGCGGCTGCCTGCTACTTTCCCAAAGTCTTCCTGCTTATGGTTACCTTTTAAGGCCTTCGTAGGGTGTTAGATTCCCCTCTAGACTCAACACTCCAAAGGAAGCACCTTGATCTGTTTTGTAGTCCACTGCATACTTAGTTTTGGCTCTAACACAAAATGGGATCTTCAAAACTGAGTTGCTGATCTTTACTCTAAAGAGCATTTGAGATGGTCAGAAAATGTTCAGAGTTGCTGTTTGCTTCAGAGGTCATAATATACGACACTCAAGAAAGACTCAACTCCTACTCTTCGATTCCACATTGCAGATGTGGGGACTGGAATTGGCCACTCAAAGATATGTCTCTTTGGCATGAGGATTGTTTTGGGCTGGTTACTTTTAAAAACTGCAGACAGGAAAGAAACTGAAGAGTAGAATTTATTTACCCTTTGTTAAGAGACATTTACATTTGTAAAGGAAATCTCCATTTGTAAAGGTGTCTCCCTCTCTGTACCAGGAAGGAGGGATGACCTTATCTCTAGAAACTCTTATCAAGACAGAGGGCAAGGGCTTAAATCTGCATAATCACCTGACCCTTGTTTACTATACTTGTCTGGTAATCTCCTGTAACTGACTGCCCCCACCCCCAACATCCTCCTTTGTCTTTAGCTGAAGATGATATTTAAGGTGGTGGCTTCAGCCGTTTTGGGGAGTAGCTCAGGTTGCCTGAGTCTCTCCCATGTATACATGTTGTAAAGCTTTGTTTAATTTTATCCTGTTATTCTGTCTCATGAATTTAATTCATTCTCTGGCCAGAAGAACCCAGAGCAGGTGGAGGAAATGTCTTCCTCCCCTACACAGAAAAGTGTTTCTGTGGTCTCTCTAAACCGGAGTCAGTATATTCTCCTTCAATATAAACTTGAAGATTATATTGCTCTTTTCCATGGGGCCTTTAGGGGAGTGTGGGGCCAGCATGGGGATAATAAAATGTCCCCAATCTCCTGTTAAAGAAAAAATTATTCATGACACTTGTTCAAACAGAAACAAACAGAAAGGCAGACATCATTCAAGACTATCACAATAGGTATAGGGACTACTGCAATGGGGTTTTGCAGCAGGGGAGAGAGATTGGGCTTTACTCTGAATAACAACAAAAGAAAGTATGAATTTATAGCCAAGGAGTAGCATTCTGTGGAAGAGGGTCAGTGGGAAAATTACTAAGATAAAAACACCAGGGGTGAGGGGGGATTCTGGCTAAAGTGACCTAACAGACTTCTTGCTGAAGGCAGGTCAGGGGGATCAGACATCACTTAGGGGATGGTAGGGGATGAGAAATTTGGTCAGATATCAAGGGTGAGCAGATATGCAGGGTGAGGGATTCTGGTTAAGCTGACCTAGCAGGATTCTGGCTAAAATGGGGCTCTTGAGGACATGCCCAAGGGTGGGACCTGGTTGGAAAAGAGCTCAGAGGAGCCCAACTAGAATTTGGTCAAGGAGAAAATCTTTGTCGTTCCCACCTCCCAGATTTGTCTTTGTCTCTTCTCCATGACCCAAAAGCCTCAGGAGTCAACAACTGCTGGGGGGTGAATTCCAAACTACAACAAATGTATCAGATTATGTTATTCCAGCCCCAAAGCTTCTATGAGTCCTTCTAATTGTCAATCACAACATTACAAATAGTAAAGTAAAATAATTTTACAAATAAGGAAACTGAACCAGCAAATGGCAAAGTGGGGATTTAAACCTGACAAC